GTAAACCACAATATACATCATGGAATTTGTACGCCCCCAGTAAATAATTATCACACTGCTGGAGGGTATAGAAAATGGTATATAAGTTGGAAAAGGTTTGAATAAAATCGGCTCCAGTCCTAATCAGACTGTTCCCAGAAGAACTGCCTCCGAGTGGTCTTCTCGCTGTCCAGATTCTCTGGTGCGGGTCCTAACCCACCCTTGGTCAGTGCTGGTCACCGACACAGACTGCAGTTGCGACTAGGGTAAATACAGAGGGTGCTCAAAAAATGTAAACACATTTTAAGAAAGGAAAGAACTGTATTAAAATGGTAATAGTGGGAAACTGTGGCGGGGGGTGGGTGGGATTGGCAGTCGTGGGGAAATCCTGGGGTGGGGGGGCATACCTCAACAACAAGGATACCTGCATAATGAACATTTGTATACCTAACCCTGAATTGTACCCTACATCTTTAATAAAGAAATAAAAAAAGAAAAACAATGATAATAACAAGATGAACACTAGTCACAATTACAGGAAGTGCTCAAAGTGGTTACCATCAGCAATCCAACACTTCTGATTACAGCAAACATCTCTTAATGTCACTTAAAATGTGTATACATGTCTTTGGCACCCCCAGTATATCGTTGGCTCAAGTTACATGCATGCACAGCAGAAACCAGAGAGGGCCTGATCTAGCCCACTCTCTTGGCCCACCCTTAGGCCACACTTACATGCAGATGAGGTGAGAAAGAGACCAGCAGAAAGGGGAAGATGGAGATAGCATGAACATGGCCTGAACGACAAATGAGTTCCTGTGGTAGGTTGCTCCTAAAATGACTCCCAGTGCCCCCCTCCTCCTAGTGTTAGTGTGCTGTGTAATCCTCTCCATTTGGGTATAGCTGACATAGTGCCTTGCTTCTAATAAATACGATATGTCACTTCCAAGGTTGTGCTGACTTCTGCGTTGCTCGCGATCTCTGGTTCTTCTTTGCAATTCTGATACAGCCAGCTGTATGTTGTGAACTATCCCATGGAGAGGTACGTATTGCAAGGAACTTAAGGTGGCCTTCTGCCAACAGCCAGCAGTAAATCGATGCTCTGGTTGTGAAGTTTGAGCACCCAACACACAGTAAGCTGAACGCTGACACAGGAGCACTTAGGAGCAGAGGAAGGTTTATTCAACTTAACCAAGTGCAAGGGCAGAAAAAGCAAACTCTCGAACCTGCTTGTGAACATAACTGGGAGGCTCGTGAGTAAGGTAGGTATGCAAGAGGTAAGCTCCTCCTTGATCAAACCTGCTTGCATTTCTTGTCCAATCAAACTCCTGGATGCCATCCAGGAAGTCTGGAGAACCTAAAGATCATTGTCCTTTAAAAGAAGGGCAAGTTCATTAACCCTGTGGGCATGAAGATAATCAATTATTAGTGACTGCCCTCTACCAAAATAACTTCTGTGCAGGCAATTATGCATGGAGGAAGAAAAGGACAAAGAGAAAGGAAGTTAAGTAACACACACATCTCATGATTTCTGTAATATAGGTTCAGTTACACTCTCAGTTCAACAACCTGCAAGAAGCCCAATCCTGCCAACAAACTCATGAGCATGGAAGCAGATCCTTACCCGGTCAAGCCTTCAGATGACTGCAGCACTTCAGATGAAAACCTTCAGATGGCCAAGACCATGAGTGTATCCTGAGTCAGAGGACCCTGTTAAGGCACAAAAGCTTTGAAATCATGTTTTTGTTTTAAACTACTAAATTTTGGAATAACCTATAATGCAGTGACAACATAATTGATACAGCTCCCTTACCCACACATAGATTCATCAGCAGAGGAAAAATGGCTGACTGACTTGAGGTGTCTGAATAGTCTCTGTATGATCAGAGATAGTGCTTAGGAAGCTACCCTTAAATATTAAAAAATATATATATAAAAATTTAAACTTTATCAGCTTCACACAATAAGGAAGGCAGGGTTCCCAGATTCTCAGATAGGGTTTGCATAATTCACAGAGCCCAGAAAAGTTAGTAAACAACAAAAAAAGAAAAAAGAAGAAGCAACAGTAAACCATGGAGAGGGGGGAATTAAGAATCCAAGGTTGCTACAAGATTTTTAATTGACAAATAAGTTGTATATATTTATGTTGTACAACATATATAGAGATATCATATATATAAAGGGTTAAATCAAGATAATAAACATATCCATTACATATCAATTAAAATATCCTTAAAATATGTTTAATGTTCAGTTTTCAACAAAAATATAAGATATGTAAAAAAAAGGACAGTGTGACACGTACTCAGAAAAGTAGCACACAATAGAAACTGTCTCTGAGTGTCTCCAAATGTTATATTTAGCAGAAAAAAAGATATTAGATAATTGATTATGTTCAAAGAGTTAGGTTTAAATTTAAATAAAATTATAACAATAATAAATTAGCAGAAAGAGATTCTAGATAAGGAGCTAGAAATTATAAAGAAAGAAATAGGAATCTGGAGTTGAAAAACACAATTGAAATTAAAAAATTATTGGAAAGATTCGACAGCAGATTATATATGACAGAGGAAAGACTCAATGAACTTGAAGATAGAGTGATAGAAATTATCCAGTCTGGAGGACAGAGAGAAAGAAACTGAAGAGCCTTAGAGATCAGTGAGTCAACATCACGATCGTCAACAGATATATAATGGCAGTCCCAAAGTCAAAAATAAACAGGAACAGAAAAAAACTACTGGAAAAACAATGGTCAAAAATTTCCAGAATCTGACAAAATATGTTACATATATATCCAATAAGTTCTATAAATCTCAAGTCGAGTAAACACAAAGAGATCCACACCTAGACACATCATGGAAAACAAAGAAAAACAAACAAGAGTAAAATGACTTATAAATGCAAAAGAACAGCAATATGATTAACAGCTGACTTTCCATTAAAACAATGGAGGATAGAAGACAGTGAAATGACATATACGAAGTGCTGAAAACACTGTTAACCAAGAGTTCTATCACCCAGAAATTCTTTCTTCAAAAATAAAGGTAAAATAAAGACACATAAACAAGACAAAGTAATTCATTGCTAAAATCTTGCAACTAGATTACAAGATGAATAAATCCAGATATAAACGATTGCATGTGTTCATTTCATTTATTTATTTATTTATTTACTTATTTGAGTTGGAGTCTCACTCCGTCACCCAGACTGGAGTGCAGTGGCTGCTCCCCCGTCACCGTAGCCTCAACCTGCTGGACTCCGGCCATCCTTCCGCCTCAACCTTCCAGGTAGCTGGAACTACAGGCGCATGCTACCACATCTGGCTAATTTTTTGATTTATTGTAGAGATGAGGTCTCACCAAGTTGCCCAGGCGGGTCTCAAACCCGAGGGCTCAGGCAATCCACTCCCAAAGGTGCAGGATTACAGGCTGAGCCACCGAGCCCAGCTGTACATTTCATTTATATAAAACTCAAAAACAGGTAGAATACATCTAAATGTTGTAGATGCTAAGATGGTATTTACTCTTGGAGGGAGGTAACAACTAGCTGGGTCAAAAAAGGAAATTCTAGGGTACTAGTTGACCAGATGTTTTCATTTGTGATGCTGGCACATTTCTGAATACATAGTTTCCTTCGATAACAAAGTATACTAAAACAAAAAGGGAAGCCTGATAGTGTCATCCCTCCCCTGATTTTAATGCCTTCATTGTTCTTTCTTTGCTTCCCTCCCAGCTGAAAAGAGCTTGTGACCTCCAAGTTCCTGTGTGATCTGGCCTCTGCCCACCTCTCTAGCATCATTTCTCACCACCTGGTACTCTAGCCACCCTCACAGTCTGTTGTTTGTGCCATGCCTCTATCCTGCCACAGGGCCCTTGCACATGCTTGTCCCTCTGGTCCATAACCCTTGTCCCAATCCATTTGGGAGGCTAAACAAAGTACCATAAAGTGGATAGCGTATAAACAACAAACACTTATTTCTCACAGTTCTCAAAATCAAGACACTGGCAAATTCAGTGTCTGGTGAGGGCCCATTTTCTGTTTCGTAGGTGGTTCCTTTTTCCTGCATGATAGAAGGAGCAAGCTAGTTCTCTGTAGTCACTTACAAGGGAATCGGTACCAATCATGAAGGTTCTACCCTCATGACTTAATTATCTCCCAAAGTTCCCATCTCCTAATACCTTGGGGTTAGGATTCCAACATAGAAACTTTGGAGGGACATACATGTTCAGACCATAGCATCCTTTCGTAGTCTGTTTACACTTTGGCTCAGAGCTCAGGTGCGGGTCACCCACCACCCCATCCAGGTCTAATTCCATTGTTATGGGCTTTCATGCAGTGTGGTTTTTTTCTTTGAGTTCTCATCTTCACTTGTCATCATAGATTCACAGGGTAATCACCTGTTCTCTTTTCTTTCCCACTGGCTCGTACGTTTCAGGTCCATGCTCTTTTCCTGCCTTGTCTCCCCAGCACTATGCCTGGCACATAGTAGGTGATAACTGTCTGTTGAATGAATAAATGAACATAGAATGACTGGACTTACAAAAGGCTTCATTCTAATTAGAGTGCACGGTAGAAAGGATGCCAAACTAAGGGATTTAGATTCTTCAAAATAGGCAACAGGGAGCCATTGAAGGTGTTTGAGAAAGGGAGATGGGTGAGCTGACCTTCGTTTTAGTCAGAGCTCTATGGAGGTGGAGGTAGAGAGGCCATAAGGAGACTGTGGCAGAACCCAGGTGAGAGATAGTGACTGACAACGGCAGTGGCCATGTGGGGAACAGTGGGGGCAAAGTCCCACCTCCACTCTGACCCCAGGGTCCAGCCGCCAGGCCTGACAGTGACCTCACAATCACTGCCCAGACCCCCGCCCTTAAGGTCAACATCCCAGTTTCTTGCCTAGCTCTGCCCTTTCTGTTCACACCTAGAGGCCACGCACTACCTGCTTAGTCACCCAGCCATCCAGTCAAGACAGAGGTATCCAGAGAGGGAGAGGGCGCCAGCAAGACCTCAAACAAGACCCTGCAATGTCAGAGCTGTCAGAGCTACCAGAGCACCTGAAGGACGTGATGCCCACGGAAAGGAAATCCATGTGGAGGACTGCCGAGGAGAGGAGAATGTCTGACCTCACCCGGGTGCTGGAGTGGCTGGAGCGGAGGCAGGGGAAGAAGAAGCAAGCTCTCACGGTGGGTACCGCCTGAGCAGTTGCTGGAAGACGATTCAGGACTGCTGCCATGGGGAGACATTGGACTCTCCTGAAACAAAAGACAGGATAGTTTTCGAGAGCTGGGGTGAGCTAGTGGAAAATGTCTGGGGAGGTGGGTTTCTAGGACTAGGCAGTCTGTGTTTGCTAACTGGCACTTATCAAAGTCAAGGTCCCACCTTCTCACAGAGACTGGGAGACTGGGACACAACCTTCCTGATCATATTTCAAAGGGATGGCTTCCAGGTCCTTGAGAAAAATATTCCTGAGCTGTAAAACTGACAAGAGTCTGAGAAAATATTTATATATCGAAAGGACAGAGAAAGCATTTGCAAGTGCAAGTTTTCTAAAGTAAATGCTCTAAGAAAAATCAGGCCAGGGGCCTACCATCAGGAAGCAACCTGTCTAAAGTTTAGTCCAGCTGGCGAGAATGTTAGTCTAGGTTAGGGTCTGAGAAGGGCCAAGGGGCTTCTGGGCGTTGGTGTTGGAAGGATAGGATCTTTCACACTGTCCCCAGCCACTTCCCTCTTGGTGACGGAGTCAGGGTCAAGGGTATTCACGCTCCACTGTCACTATCCCCACGGGGACTCCTACTAACGTACCTCCTCCTTCGCGCTCTGCTTCAGAGCTCGTTCTAACCTGCCCTTTCCTCTTTCTCCACAAACTGTAGCAATCAGGTTTGCCTCAGTTTCCCCCAGAGCTCCCCGCTGGTCAATCATCTATAAAGAACCAGACCATGTCCTTGGAAAGTAGTTTCCTCTGCAGAGGATGCTACCTGGTCTTGAATCCCCTGACCCTGGAGCAAAATGAGTGGAAAGCGGCATTCCTAGTGACAGTGCTCACCAGATTGCTAACTTCTAACCTTTCCTGTGAACCGGGACCTGTCTCAGCATCGTACATGGTTATCTCCTCACCTGCTCTCAGCCAGGCTACAATGTGGCGCCATATTATTCCCTATGGAAAAATAAGGAAGGCAAAGAGAAGTCATTCTCTTGAGGCCATGGAGTTAATAGAGGGCAGAGCCAGCACTGACCCTCACACGTGTCCAAGTCCCAGCGACTCCTGGAGTCAACTCCCACCCACTCTGCTCCCCTCAGCCAGCAGCCCCCACCTTCCAGGAGAGAGCTTTCTGTTTATGTGCTTACTCCTCACTTGCAGTCAGAAAGACCTCGAGTGCCAACTCCACCAGACATACTGGAACACATCTGATGAACGCGCTCTGCCCCAAGGTGCTGACGATTTAAGAAGAGCCCACCTCCTGCCCGATGTTGGTGGGGGGCTGACTGCTCATCCTCTCAGAACTCAATTTTATACCCATCACAGAAATTAAATTCACTTGCATGACTAATATGCTCAGGTCCATCTCCCTTCACCAGGATTATATTCCAATAATGTTTTCACAGTTTTACCTTCTATGCATCTGACTTTTATTGTAAATAATTTTGGACCCAGAGAAAGAACAAGTTTATACCAAAAATATGGTTAAGTCATTGAGCATCATTACCCTTCCCAGAGGAAACTCTCAAGAAAGAGGGTGGCCCTTCTATAACAGGTCTCAGACAGCAGCAGATGGCAGGGGACCCGCTAGTAAAGACCCCTCCCAGGACCTCTCTGTCTTCCTCTCTTCTCTCCCTGGGTCAGGCCTGGCTGTCCAGGCTTCTCCCCTTTCAGACTGCTTCATGGCGGACCCCTTGCAATCCACTTGGCATCAAAGAAGACCCTGAGGCCCAAAGACCCCTGAGACCACCGAATCCACACATGTTGTAGTTTCCTGGGTCTAAGGCATCACCACATCATTTTCAACCGGTTTCCCCAAAGGGGGGTGTGTAGGGAGCTACTCAGGTGACCCTGCCAGAGAGGTTGGGGATTGTTGGGAGATGGTGGAAGGAGGACCACCTAGAGGAACCGGCCTCATCCTCTCTTCTCTTGGCCTGAAAATGCAGCCCTGGCCCCCACTTGCACCCTCTTTCCTCACTACACCAAAGAAAATCCCAACGTTAGCCAGCAGCGCCTTCCTTAGAGAGCAGTTTGCCACAGGGAGGCTTCCACCCGCACTCACAGCCAGCACATCAAAACATCCCTTCTTCCACCCCAACAGTCTGTCCCACATAATTCATGGAGGGCTCTGCCTTAATGCAGCGATTCATGTATTTCTTGCAGTAAGCTTCTGAGGCAGGTCTTACTACTACCACCCCCATCTTTCAGGTGAGGACCCCAAGCCACAGGGAGAGCAGGGGCTCACCCAGGGTCCCTCAGCCACTCACCAATGGGCAGCGCAGGAATCCGGCCCAGGCATTCTGCAGTCTGGCCAGCCTCTCACACCCAGGAGCAGCACACTCCCAGGGGAGACCCATGGGCTTCGACTTTTCCATGATGTTCAACATCCCACCTCACCCTTACAGACTGGGTGAAATGCTTCCTGGATGGCCCACCCTGCATGTGCCTCACAGGCTCCTCCCCTGTGGGACCCGGAAGAGCTCTAATAATCCCGTGCTCCTTCCTCCACTGTGGGAGCTGGAAGGGCAGGAACACGCCCTGTGCAAGGAATTCAGTTCAGGGCAGGGTGTGCTTAGCTCCAGGAAAGGCTCCATGGAGTACCTGGGAAAGAGATTAATTGTGACCACCACTCCGGGAAGACAGGATAGGGTAGGAGTGAGGCGAGGAGGGTGGGGTCTTGGGGACTCAGAAAGAGTCTGGCTGGGAAGAGGCCTAGAAGTCTAAATCAGCAGGACCTGCCCCCAGATAAGGCAGCCTTACTGTGGTTCCAGACAGGAGGTCAGGGTGCAAAAGTCACAGCTAGAAAAGCCACTTGGGGGCTGGAAGGAAGTTCTACCGGATTGGGGCGTGGGACCCTTATGTGGAAGGCGATGAGGAGTTTGAGATGGATTCTGAGATGGAGCGGAACAAGACCAGACCTGAGGCTTTGGAGGTGGTGACATGAACGCCAGGGCGTGTATGACACGGACACCCTGGCACGGTCATAGACAGAGAAAGGAGCACTAGAGTGTGGGCTAAATTTGGGGGAGGGGTGGGGAGTCTCTTGCCCCTGCCTGGGAGGTGTCTTCTGGTGGGCCAGAGAGAAGGTGTCCCCGCAAGGGCCGCTGCAGGCTCTCTTCTCATGTTTTTTCAGAAGCAAACACTCAAGGTGGAAACAGTCCCTAAAGCAAATAAGAAGGAAGAAAAGAAAATCAAAGGCATCCTGAAAAAGCAGGGTGAGGACTACCAGGCCGTGACGTCTTCCGAGCAGGCAGCACAGCCACTGCCACTCCCACAGGCACGTACCAGAAGCTTCCTCCCACTCTCAGCTCTCCGGGTTGAGAAGGGAGTCCTCTCCTGAGTGGCATCTGGCTACTTCTTCAAGTTTAAGGCTCTGAAATCCACTCCTGCCCTACGCCAACCCCAGACAAATGCCCCACCTTCCCAACCCCAACCACCCTATCCAGTTGCCCCAACACACCTTTGCCTCCCTGAATCGAGTGTTTTCGGCAGGAGCTCCATCTTGGCCTGCCCACCTCTCTCCTCCAAAACCATTCAGGAATGCCATCTGAATGATGACAACTTCAGGGCCCCCTGAGGGCCAGGCCCCATCTAATGTCCCCAAGGGCCCCCCTGAGATATGGGGGAAGGAGAGGGAGGTGTTAGTAAACTCACCGAGCCTGTTCCTACCCCTCCCACCCCTCCCAGATCCAGGGCAGCTCCCTCCTTGTCACCTTTCAGCAAACCCTTGAAATCATTTCAGGGCAGGGAAGGCTGAGCCAGACCCTGCAACCAGGGTGAACTTCTCTCCTGCTCCCTCCAGGCCTCAGGACAAAGCTCCAAGAAGGACGAGGACACCATCATATACCAAAAACCCTACGGTGTGGAGAAGAAGGGGAAGCGCATCAGCATCGTCCCTGGCAACTACGGCAAGGAGGGCTCCAGGAAGTCTGGTAGGGAAGAGTCCATCCTGGGAGGCCGGAGTGGTCCTCCATGAACCACCACCCTTTAGAGGAGCAGGAGGCTCACATCGTTCTCAGGGCCACAGCATCCTCATCAATTCAACTACTGTGCCCAGGAGTTAGAAATTACAGGGGAGCTCTGTAGGTACCACACTGGGGGCCGCAGTTGGCCAGCTGGTGTGACCTGGGCAGGAAGCAAGTGGCTGTCCAGGCTCTGACTCCCCAGTTGTTCTTTTCCCAGGAGCCAGCATAGTGTGTCCCAAGCTCCTGGAGTCATGTGGGTGACATCAAGCTCATGAGTTCCAAATTATCAAATTGATGCAGGTACTGAGACAATGTCTGCCACAGAAGGGACCATACCTGTGGGCCTAAAACCTGCTAGATATTGCTCACACCTAGGAAGGGTTAGGCTTAGGTTGTGCCAGACCCTCAGTTCCAAAGACTGTCTGGGTGCAGATCCTAGCTCCAGCACTCCGTAAGGAACTCAGAGCTGTATAATCCTGGGCAGGTCACTCCGTCTCTGGGGTCCAGTTTTCTCATCTGTAAAGAGGGACGATAAGATTAATTGCCTCATAGTCTAAGGGTGGGGTTTAAGCAAGATGATGTAACACATGTGGCCTGGCCCTGAGGAGGTGCTGAGTAAATATTGATGGCTACTTCTAAGTTAGAATTTTGCTAAAATTTCCAACGGGCTGTATTGTGGTGTTGAAAAAACAGGCGCACACGTTGTGTCTGACCTCTTGGGACAGTGATATAAGGTAAAAGAGAAATCTGGAAAAAATTCCAAGTAGTTCAAGAGAAAAGTGGGCAGGACCCCTTGAGCAGGGGCTTTCAGTTCTCCGGTATAAAACTGCCTTCATCATGCCCCCAAATCTCTTTTCCCCTTTTCATTTACTATACTAAAACCATTGAAACCAAGCTGTAGTCACTTGCCTCTGAGATCTCAGTGCTATTACTTTAACAAAGCATAGAATTCTGGACTGAATCCTAGAATAGCACTTTCATGGAAAAACTGGTGAAAAGCAGAAAAGCTCTGTAATGTACTGATGTTTATTTCTTAGTCTTGACAAATGTACTGTGATTATACAAGGTATTAACATTCAGGGAAAGCAGGTGAAGGGTGTATGGGAATTCTCTTTATTTTCTTTGCAACTTTTCTGTAAATCTGAATTATTCCAAAGTAAAAAAGGTTTGTTTAAAAAATAAAACTAAATTGATGTGTGCCCTATGGTAAGCCTCGTATCTCTCCCAAATTTTCTGTGACTCCCAATGTCTTGTGTGGCTCCAAAGTCTTGGTCCTGCCGGGCCCAAGAGCTGCTGTATATCTTGCTTCCAGTGTCCATTCTCCTCTCCATGCCAACCCAGAAACAAAATAGCCCTATGTATGTGTACACTTTGTGTTTCCATAAAAGAATACCCAAGTCTGGGTAATCTATAAAGAAAAGAAAATTATTTTGGCTCACAGTTCTGCAGACTATACATGAAGCGTGGTGCTGGCATCTGCTTCTGGTGAGGCTTCAGGAAGCGCATAATCATGGTGGAAGGTGGAGGGAAGCAGGGGCACGTCACGTGGTGAGAGGGAAGAGGCGGTACCAGACTCCTTTAAACAACCAGGTCTTGTGTGAACTCTTAGAGCAAGAACTCACTCATTGCTGCAGGAATGGCACTGAGTCATTCAACAGGGATCTGCACCTGTGACCTAAGCTCCGCCCAACAGTGGAGACCACTTTTCAACATGAGACTTGGGGGAGGGAGAATATTCTAACTGTATTATCCTGTTTCCCTGATTTCTCATCAAACCTCTCACACGAGGCCTTGGTGTGGAAGCAGACTTTACTGCAGGTGTGGGAGCAGCAGAGGGAAAGACTTTCATCACAGAATTATACCACAAACTAATCAGCGGTTGATTTGTTCTTCAAAGTCCTTTGTCCCCTGCCACCAGATTTTCCCTGGCTTCATTTTTTTTTGCAGGAAGTAGCCTCCTGATGTTTTTCTCAACTCCAAGAGTGGGTAGGGTGAGACAAGCCAGGAGCTCGGGACACAACATTTCAGGAGGTGCTCACTGCCAAGAGCCAGTCTTGCACCTGTGTAACCCTGAGGGTGAACACCTTCTTAAATCTTGCCCCGGGCACCTGCTTGCCTCAGTGAGAGCCCTGGCCCTGCTCAACTCTCCTTTCTCTCTCTTTCCTCTTCTCTCTCGTCCTCTTATGCCTTCCCTACCCCCAAACATTCCCATTGGCTATTTACTTGTTTCATTTGTCTTGTTCCACACTCAAAGTAGTCTACCAGGAGATTTTCCTAAAGAAAATTAGTTCCTTCCCTAAAAGAAACCCATGCCAGTTGATTAAATGATTATTTTCATCTCATTGCACGAAGTTGCCAGTAGAACAGGATGACTTGCCAGTCATTTGGTCCTCTGCAGTTTCCTTTTTCTCCCTTCCACCATCCAAGACACATCCACCCTGTCAGAGAATGGAGAAGCCTTGTCTCTCCTGATGTAATATAACCAATGGCCACTTGGTGGCAGCAAATGGGCCAGCCAGAGTGCAATAGGTGCTCAGAGGCACCTAGGCATCCAGTTGAAGTACCCAGAACCTAGGCAGAGGTGAGCCTGGAAACCGTCAGGAAAGCCTTCTGTACAGACTGGCAAGAGGCCTAAACTGAGCAGGCCTGATCTGAATTGAGAAACAAGTTCAAGACAAAACAACCCATAGAAAAAGCACAGAGCTAGTCACATACATCCTGCCAGTGTTGGCTTGAGCTGCCACAGACAATGCAAATTCTGCGTGCCTCCTGTTTTATGCACCACCTCAGAGAATGATACTGGTACCCTCTTAATGTGGTGGCCCAAGTTGGAAGCCAGAGACTATCTTATTACTTCTCCTTCTCCTATCCTTCATGACCAGTTACAAGATCCTCTAGCTTCTGTTTTAATATATTTACTCTCTTTCTCTTCCTCTCCATTTCCACAGCCATTATCTTAGCTTATCTCCCTGATCCTTTTCCACTATAAGAATGTCTGAAGCCGGACTCAGTGGCTCAGCCTGCAATCCCGTGCCTTTGGGAGGCTGAGGTGAGTGGAATGCCTGAGCCCGCGGGTTCGAGACCCGCCTGGGCAACTTGGCGAGACCTCATCTCTACAATAAATCAAAAAATCAGCTGGGCATGGTAGCACC